GGTATAGTATTTTAATCAACCCTTTTTAGACTGAGTTTCGAAGGTTATATGAGAACGTTTATGTAAATTATCAACCCTTTTCAGGGGTTTATGAAAGTGCAACGTGTCGCAATCCCTTTAAACATTTATGAATGTGATCAACCCTTCAATAAACCTTCCAGAAAAAATATTTAACGATAATAAAATCCGTACTAAGCCCTTTTTAGAGGGTTTATAACAGGGTTTATGACTCGTTGATAAACGGTTGAAAATGGTTTGCGACACGTTGCACTTTCATAAACCCTTTTTTCGTTTATTATTCTACGGTTTTTTTTACAGTGTAGTGTTACTTTAAACTTTAAAACTTTATAAAAGTATTTTCGAAGTTAAATTACCACCCATAATTACACGCACATTATTCTAGTTCTTTTTTTTACAGGAAAGTTTCAGCGAATCGTCAAATATGCGATGCACTAATGATGGTATCAGGAGCTTCGACTTGGAAAAGCTGAAACCCTTTAGCTATCTTTTAGAATTACTATCAGCTGCAATTTTCAATTTTTTTGATGGGCTGAGAGAAATTACGGAGTCACCACTGTATTACACTTGCTCATTTTCTAGATTCACTTTACTTTCATCACCATTAAGAATTAAAATCTATTCGTCGGATAGAAGAAAATATAGTTTGCTGCTTGCTTTGTATGGCTACTACCACAGACCTCTATACAATGCCCTCAAATTCGAATGAAAATCCACCTTCAAGGTATGTACCCTTTTTCTCTCTCGAACAACAATAGTAAATTTACAACCTTCAATGTAAAATGAAATACTCAAATTCCAAATGATTCTCAGTCAGTAACAAAGAAGTCACTGTAGAAGGATTTGATGCTTTAGTGTGAGACTAAACTGAATGCCCTTTACCAGCAGACATAATCCCCACATCGGCATTCACAGCGTGAATCAGAGAGGACCATATACACCCACTATTTGATTCCTTAAAGGTCAGGTAAATAACTTTCTCATAAAAGTCACAAAATGCATGAAATAGAAGCCCTGTTCAAATTCATAGTTATCCTTAATGCTTTTTGACAACCCGTCATATGTAACTTAATATACTGTCGGTTCGATCGGCGATAGTTATTGATTCTTCTACGGCATTTTTCATCAACTCTTGGCATAATTGATTGTTTTCATGAGTTCTTCCGCGCGTCATCTTGATCGCTAATCTTACGATTGTCCGGTAGCATTGAAGAAGTTCGTATTTTTCTAGGAAGAGTTCATCAGCACAACGTGTAAAAACCTACAAGGAGTTCTGTGAATATTATTAACTTTTGCATAGTACTATTATGTATCCTTTTACATGATTTATCAATGAGTTTATCCAGATGTCTTAGTCAATAAAACAGATTCTTGAAATGGTGCGCTATATAAGCACTACTAGACGCTCATTCTATGACATTTCTACGTTTTTATTAACTGAAATTTCTCAAATAAAAGCTAATTTCTAAATAAAGAAACTAAAATGGCTAGAAGGAATAAAACAAATCAAATGTGAGTGTATAAAAATTGTAGCTATAATTTTTTATTTTAGTTTTTCTCAACGAAAGAGAAAAACAAGTACTGGAGCAATGGATGGGAATAGAAAATGTACAAGTAAGTCGAGTAAAACTTTTTATAAGAAGAAAGCGACGCTCATCTCTATTAGAAGACATCGACGACCAGCTAAATACTGCACTTCTGCTGCAATGCCTGAAAGGCCAAGACGGTTTATATGAATTGCATACACATCTTTTGGGCATGGGTAACATTTCATTCTGGATTCAGGATATTCTAATTGATCGAGCAAAATTACCTACTCAAAATGATTTTATTAACGACGATTCTTTTAGATGTCGATTAGGGCCCCTTGTGTGGAATACAAAGGAAAAATGTTTTATTGATCGAACCACGACCCTAAAGCTATTTGATGAACTTCGTTCGTCGTATGATTCAGATCCAGAAAAATATAACTGTGATGAACCTTTCAAAGGCATGATGTCTGACGAGTTCCACGAACAGATGAAGCATCACGAACTGAATTTCCAGGACAAGGACAAGGACAAGGTCAAGGACAATTTTTCATATGATGTTGTTTTTTCCTTAGAAAATCTTGCTAAAGGGCTAGGATTAGAAGCAAGTGAGCCAAGAGATAGGATTCAAGCAGCAGTGGAAGAAAAACTAGGCATCCATACAAGAAGTGATTGGGTAGAACATGTGTTTTTCAAGAACTGGATCATATTCAATGCAAGAGAACAAAAATTACAAATAGTGTATGGTATTCAAGCTGAAGAACTACGTATGCTTATTGGGGGAGATAAACCGATTGATCAAATAATCCAACCAGCACAACGGGATGCTCGAGCACACATTATAAATGCATTTTCAATGATGAATGCAGATGGTAGCGAGCCCTGTTCAGTAGACTTTCATTCGTTTCGTGGTGCATTTACACCGGAATTCTACCCTAGACGGTATGCTTTAAAAGACTCAATGTATAGCCAGCGGCTTGATATATTGGCATATCTATTGTGGCATGTTCTTCATCGTTACGACATATGTTTACCGCCAGTGACGTATTGTGAATTTTCAGTTGGTTGTCGTGATTTAAGTCGCCCTTGGGTAGTTGATATCTTATCTACATTTACTGACATTGAAAATTTACGTAGTACATTTAAAGAATTTATCGATATAAATTTCCCATGGCTTAAACCGCGCGGTTTTGAAAAACGTATTGTTTATCGATTTTTGGCAGGTTTTAAGCGCGAAACACCACCAGTCAGTAATGCATATTCAGATGACAAGCCCACAACATTATTTTTTGAGGTACCGCATTATGCGATTCATATTATGCTCAAAGAATTTTATCAGAGTGATCAGGAGAAACCAACTATTATATTCACCGAACAAGTACAGCGACTTCTGGAAATGAAGAAGGAAGCCGAAACCATTCCATATTTTTTTGACTTGGTTGTTGGCTTAGACTTATGTGGTGATGAACTTGGACATCCATATTGCCCTTTTATAGCCTTTGAGTTCATCAAGTTTGTCAAAGAAGCTCGAGGCACAAACCCCAAGTTTGTCGAAGAAGCTCGAGGCACAAACCCCAATTTTGGCATACGTATTCATGCTGGTGAAAATGTACCTTTCATTCGTCCTGAATTGCCTGGTTATCGTCTATTTGTTGCGCATATGTATATTCTTTACCGTTGCATTGACTTTCTGAACAAGAAGTTAAAGTCACACATTCGTGTCGGCCATGGGGTGGCTTTTGATAAATTGTTATCTATCAAAAATCATAAGTATCGAAAATCTAGTGTACTTGTGGCGGAAATGCAAAGAAATGCTAAGTCAGTATTTGCAGAAGTTCCTTTTGAGGTAAATATAACCAGTAATTTTTATCTTCTTGGTGATGCTGTTAGAAATGTAGAAAAGGAAAAGCCTTTATCTTACTTATACGATATTCATGTTCCAGTCGTTCTATCCACTGATAACGACGGAATATGGCCCATTGATAAGTGCACATTAGGACACCAATCACATCATTCTTTAGCAGCTGAGTATTGCCGCGCAATTACTACTCGCTTTATTACGGAAGAAAATCAATTAGAAGATATAGTTCGGAATCCAAAGCGCTTCTGCTTTGATAAAAACCTTAATACAAAGAACAGTAACCAATTAAATATATCTAAAAAGGAGAACAGCACAGATAGTCCTTATTTCCCTACTGACGTCATTGCACATCCAGACATTATACATATGCTTGTCAAGCTGTACCAACGTGCCAAGAAGAAAACCGATTTTAACTTCGAAACGTATGTCTATATGTGTGCCCCAGGAACATTTTCTGAAGTGGAAAACAGCGCTAATAATGTTAAAGATTATTATGAAGTTACGATGCGCATTTTAATGGCATGCTTCTATTTAACGCGTTCGTCTTGTTACACAAAATTTGAGAACGAATATAAAGAAGTATTTCACGACTCTCCTGATTTTAGTCAGTCGAACTGTGAAAAAATTTATTATGCATGTGCAAATGTACATTCGCAACTAATGAATGATACACCTGGGGAAGGCGCAAGCATGCAAATCATGGTTGGCGAACACCATTACTTATTTTGCTCTGAAATACCAGATAATCGTAAAGGTACCCCCGATTTCTTATTAACTACTATAGAAAACTTCATCAGAAAATTCACTGAGCCGGCCACAATATTCAGTTTTCTTCCAAATATTGATGAAAATAATCCAAAAATAAAGAAGTATCTGGAAAATATTGGTCGAATTATCGGAGAAAAAGAAATCAAAATTTTTATTCATACAAACACTAAAAAACATATAGTTTTCCCAACTCTTAAAAGTGGGACAATACTTATTAACCCTCAACCTGAAAAACGCACGGATGCAAATCTAGAAGAAATTGAACGTATACTACTCTATGCCGTTTGCCCACATGGTAGTGTAGCAACATCTGCTTTACATTTCATTGCAAAGCACATCCGTAAAAAAGATTTTAGTATCGAACCACAACACGTAAATCTTCGCTCACTTATTATTCCTTTTCTACCATTGCATTTTGGCTATCGAAAGCCAAATGAAAACGAGAGTATTAAGACGAAAAAAAGTTTTCTAAAAGAGTATGGTCTAACTAATACAGAACTTGCCAAAAGCGAAAGAATGAATATTGAAAAGGATCCGATCTGCAAAACATTATATGACCCAAAATATAATTTACTTTGTACAGATGTTCGATTTGCCAAACAGATAGAGACATCAGATTTAATCGAGAAAATAAACGAAGACAATACAAAATTTCTTGAAATTTTAAAGATTTTACATAAATCGCTTAAAGACTTCAACATGAGGCCTCGCTCGTTTGTTATACTGGAAAATATAAAAGAATATAAAGATTATAAGAAAGATTTTGAAAATCCTGATAAGATTGCAATTCCTATTATTCAAATCAAAAATAAGTTTCTCATTTGCAGTGGTATAAATTTTTTCGAAAAAAGCTATGAAAACCCAGCACGTCTTCTTTGGTCTTTAGCTGTAGGTTGGAATCCACCTTTAAGCGATGGGAACAATCCATATGAGTATCCATATAGTCAGTGGGTTAAATCAATAATTGAGATTGGTAGAAAGAGCCTAAACAAAGAATTTGGCCTCAATACATGGGAAAACTTCGTAGCTGACGTTCTATGCGATGCAGATAAACGAGCATGGTACATGTTAACTGTGGACTACTGGTGTGATGTTATCGAGACTGCTTTTGGTCCAGAAAAAAGCGTAGATAAATTCGTGAAATTCCTAAAGGCAGAAAAAAAACACACCCGTTTTAAAGAGTTACTAGAGGATTCCAACCGTCATAGAATTGGGAACATTTGGCAAACAGGTACTATCGAAAAAAGAAAAGCATACAGCATACAGAAAAGAATTCTTGACTCGCTTACTGTTCTAACCGTGTCGGATTCGGGTTAGATCGTGAAAAATTGACCTATGTCGATTACTGTACTATATTCTGAAACTTGAGTACGCGATTTTCTCTCTGTATATTTAATTTCCGTTGATTAGATGAAAAAAGTTCTTGCAAATAGTGTTTTCGGTTGACATTTAGTTTCTGTGATTATTTTGAATGAGAGAAATAAAGAAATGACCGGTCATTGTTATAATCAACGTAATATCAAAGAAAGTGCAATAGGATATATCTGTGAGATGTGCCGATGGGTATGAAAGTGAGTTTGAGGAATCTGCCAACGCATTTGATTTGATTTCATAGAGATCTACACTTCATACTTTATAACACTTGCTGACACTACGCTCACTATTGCAATGTCTAGTCATTTTTTCATTTCTCTCATTAGAATCAATCGAGGAAAGACAAGACCTCAGTAGAAAAAGTTATAATGCTTCGAGGAAAAGGTTAAAAGCAATCAGCAGAAAGTAAATCATGTAAAATTGCTGGGTATGGGTGTGGATATCTCTGGGAGCCTGACCTTCATAGACTGGTACATCAGCAAGCATACAGTCAATCCGCACTTAAACTCATAACCATAGTCGCATCTTCAGTCGTATGTATACCCCACGTCCGCTCTCACACAATAACATTGCAAATCTATAGCATCCGGAAAAAAATAAGCATACTATCAGTTGCAGTAGTGCTGCATGATTGCGAGTGCATTTTGAACAAGTTCGTAGACAAGCAGACTGGTTGAGTTCATTCGTTAATATAAATGCATGTCTTCAGTTTGTTGTCGTTGATATTGAAAATTGTTTCGAGGTTTTTTATTTTAGCTGAACAAGCACCTACCAAAAGATTCTGCAACAACAAGAATAACAGCAAATTTCTTCCCGAAACAATCTCAGTAATTAAGTAGATAGTCATCTTCACAGATCAATATTGGTCCTTTGGCGCTTGTATATTGACATGTATTTCCTGCCGAAAGAGAAATAGAATGGCAGTGATGTTGAGTAATTCAACTAATATTCATATATCTCGAATTGGATGTTTCTTGTTGAGATATGTTTCTTCTATCGTATAATGAATCTCTTCGAAATTCAATTGTTCAATGGAACATTGTAGCTGGTGCTTGCATTGTCAAATTCAGATGTTTTTTCTTATAATCCTTGACTATATTTGTTGTTAATGATATGTCTGCTGTTTGTGAAGGAATATGCTGAACAAACTATTCTATAGATGACTCTTCAGACCATTGTACTTTTCCAGTTTGCCGAAAAATATACCGCTTTTCTTTAGCAATCTTCTTTTTGGGTAGAAATGAATTCTGATACATTCATGCAGTCTTACGTGTATGTCATTTAGCAGTCAAAATAGGCAAATGCCGAGATCCGTCCAAGCCACTGCACGAATAACAAGTTACTTTACCAGAACCGTTACAATTGGAGCAAGTAGCATCGAGATTATTGCAACTGAATCTCGTTCCATCATTTTTTCTACCGTAATGGCATTGACGACAACGGACTCTGCTGCTACCATGACAGTCTGCTACATAACAACTTTGTTCACCCATACCACGGTAGTTGTCACATCTTGTCAAATACCTACAATGAAGTAAAGCTCTTGATTTGTTACCAGATGTTGGTAAATTGAACGTATGATTATTCCAAATATTAACGAGTGGTTTACCATCACGCTGTGTCGATCCCAAAAGCCAACTTGATTCAGGACAAATATAAAAAAACATGAATTATTCTAATGTATAAGTGCAAGAGCGACTTTTTGAATATATGAAAATTGTTTTAACAGCAGCTAGAATTTTATTGTACTTACACAATGCATATAAAAAAAGACTACCAAAGTGACAGAATTTACTTTCGCAGAAAACTGTAGGGTGTAGGTATGCACCAGGCAACTTGAGAGTGTGGGGTATGGGTAAGAGCAAGAGTGACACCCACACCCACACCCACACCCTGGAACGAATTCGCTCAACTGATCAACTGGGATGCAGTGACATCTAAAAGAACTCTAATCACCGCTTTGAAACGTGCTGTTCGTAAAATTTCTCAAGATGTTGTCTTTGAAAGTTGCTCATCTTGGACTAATCGATTATATCGATTGTCTCAAAATAGAGGAAATTACTTGAGATAATAAAAGTAGATGGTTTTGTAGAGAATTGAACGACGAATGTTTTGAAAAAAAANCGTGCTGTTCGTAAAATTTCTCAAGATGTTGTCTTTGAAAGTTGCTCATCTTGGACTAATCGATTATATCGATTGTCTCAAAATAGAGGAAATTACTTGAGAAAATAAAAGTAGATGGTTTTGTAGAGAATTGAACGACGAATGTTTTGAAAAAAAATTAGGACGAACGAATGAAAATTGACCGAGATATGCAAGAAATATCGAGACCCTCATTCTTTATGGCCCACCCGTTATTTATTTATTTTATGACAACAAATAAAAATAGATCTTCAACGTTTACCATTAACTGGTAATCCATATGATCAAATGGCTAGTACAGCACATACAAATCGTGTTCGTGATGTACGTGCTAGTTATGATGGACAATATTTATTTACAAGTGGTGAACTTGTACTATTGTGCACATGTTACGGTTTAATCCACATCTATTACAAGATCAAGCACAATTGGGTGGAAAAGATTTAATATCATTTTATAAATTATTAGAAGGTGGAAGAGAAGGAGAAATTTTTAAAGAAATGAAAGATTTATTTTATTATAGCCAATTAAGATTGTATGTTTATATGCGAATAAATAAAATTTTAATAAAATTCTATTTTTAGTCAAGATATATATCGATATGATCGTCGTGAAGTAACACCAAAAATTCCATCAAGTAAAATATCATTTGTTATGAGACCATTAGGTTATTATCCAACTGAATAAGAAGTAATTAATAAAAATCTTTTCAACAATATAGGTTTTCTCTCTCTATTATATTGAAGAAATACTTAATGAAGTTAAATTTAGTACCTATGTTGAAACAAATATTTACGTTGAAAATTATTGATCTCAATGATTTTATTAAATGTAAAGGTCATTTTTTATTCTAATGAAGGATTTTTCTGTTTAAATTTAGTTTATGTAAATCATCGACTAGCATTTGGTCTTAATCCAGCTGATCTTAATTATGCATTTAATGTTCTTTCCGATCAATTAAATCCGGAAGATGGTCAATCACAAATTAATCATGAAAATCTTTTATTTCTTTTACAACAATATGGTGAACATATGAATGATTATTAAATGTCTGATTGTTTATCAAATTTACTTCATTTAAATAGTGATTCAACTGAAATGTTTGATACAATAAATGCTGATGATGCTTGCACATTTATTTTAGTTTTTTCTTAAAATATATTTTTTTTATTAGGTCAATTTATTGAAAATCAATTACCTGATCAAGTAGCATTGCAAACATACATTTATGAAAGATTCATTAAAAATGCCATCATAATATGTTGATCAAGTTATGTATTCTATTAAAGCAAAACAACTACATCTATCATCATTATTTCTACTAAAGCAAAAAAAAGAGACGAAGTCCAATTGAACAAAAAAAAACAACAACGTTCTCATTCAGCTATGCCACCAACACAAAGCACAACATTAGCTTCGAGTGACTCTTAAATAAACCATAAAGTTTGTTTTTTAATATTTATATAAAATAAATATAATAAAACAATGAGGGTGTGGGTGTGGATGATTAGAATACCCACACCCTATATAATTTAGAGATATTTAAAAAAAATTCAATGACTTGCTCTCTTCTAATATATTCTATATGCTTTGACAGGATAACCACTCACATTAGATTTCTCATATTGTTGACTCATAATTTGACGGCACGTGGCTTCGATGACATTAGTGTAACTTGATAGTTGTGAACCCAATTTTATGTCACAGTTATCGTGGCTATGCGCGAATCCGGAGTCATGTTTTCAAATGATCAGTAAAACTTGACTTTCGTCTCTAAATGTTCAAATTCTATGTGTACCCACGAAAAACATTTTTCGAGAAAACTGCGGTTAACCGCAGTCTTGTGCACCGCGTTAAAAAAACCGC